ATAAATCAATGTCATGTCATTACAAATATATTATTTATTTATAACAATCCACCCAATGCTCAATTTATTAGAAATTATTCAAGGTATGAACTTATCAAGCACTTATTCATAATACGGCGCTCTGTTTAGATGTCAAAGTGATTATTATGGCTAATATATAATAATCTTAACCCTTAGTATACCTAATTCATATCGTGGATTACTTGAGGATAGACATTAACACCGTTGGAAGCCAGCTCAGTGGTCTAGAGGTTAAACCGCGAGACCTAAGGTCCTGGTTTCCAGTCCGGCATGAGGGATTGTGGATGTGCACTGTTGAGGAGTCTCGTACTAGGACGAAACGGCCGTCCAGTGCTTCCAGGTTTTCTATGGCGGTCTAGCTTCAATCAACTCATGAGTTCAACTATTAAAAATTAATTCATTTCAGTTGAAAAGTTCCACTGACCTATGAATAAATATGAACTTATTTCATTCTAAAAAAAATATTTTGTTTACTCTTGAAAATAGCGAATGCAACTCAGAATAAGTCTTGTGTTTACTTGAGACTGTTATTAAGTTGTCTTAATAATCTATAAATAAACACAAATCACTAATTGTACACATTCTAAAACTTGTTGTTATCGCTCTACACTTAAACTTTCAATACTTCATTTCATATTGTCATGGAATTTTTTATTATATTAAGATGAAGAGTATCAAGTGGTTTTCTTGAGTAACAAGACTAAATAAACATCGTTTCAAAAGTGAATCACATTGTAAATCAAGAGTTTCTTCACTTAATTTACCTCTCTACATTTTAGGTAACAACTATTTTTATGGATATACTCACTGATGAATAACCAATTTAATGAGTTTCCAATTTTACTGTAAGTTTTTCTATCAATTAATTGTAAACTGAATAAAAATGGACATTTGATGTTTTATATAGAATTCATGTAATATTCTAAACGGACTCTAAATAAGAAGATTAGATGTCTATTCAGTGCTTAATAACTAGAAAAGTAGCCACTTAAGTTCAACTTCACGTGAACAAATGAGATAAAATAAAAAATTGAAATTGACCATTTTCATATCGTAATATTTTCCAATCAGACCGTGTTTTGATTTTATTCAATAATTAAACTTGATAATGAGACCCTGTAGGTATCACTTAAATCACAAAAATCTTTACTATACTTTGTTTTAATTGTAAAACACAATTATTCATAACACCTTTGAACCAAAAGCCTGAAGGTAACGATCTAGTTGATTATCCGAGTTTTCCTTAAAGCTGAAGATATGAAAAAGTTTTCATAGGACAAAATATAAGAAAATGAAGAGGATTGATGGATTATGGTCTAAGTGAATATATTTCAGAAATCCCACTGATGAATATCTATTCACTGATTTCATTTCAGCTTTAAAAATATCTCATTGTTATATAATCAAATCATTTTAGAAAACATTGAACGCAGAATTATAAAACCGATTTTATTTACATACCAAATGTTTTGTATATTTCATTTTTACTTTGATGAATGATTATATTATGCCTCTTCGTTAGATCAGCCTTATTGACTAATACTCTTGGCAAAATTGCAAAATATTTAAAAGTTACAGACTTGTTGACACCTTTGCCAATCCGAATGAAATGTTTTATAATATCAGACAAACAAAGATAGTAATAAAAAAGGAAAGTTTTAAACGTTGACTAGCTATTTGCTAATATGAATATCTTTCATAATATTTTATGTTAATCACTTCAGCTATTACATTAGCTAACTAGGCATGAAAATTTCTTTCATATTTGACTAGTTTATCATGACATGAATACGTGCTATGACTAGTTGAGATCTGTTTGCTAACTTAAGTAATTATTATTTTTCAATGACTTGATATATTGTACTCTTATCGTATTACTTACCATAGAAAGTTTGTTTGCGAACATGGCGATTGAAGCTATATCAATAGTGATTTTAACTTAGACAAATTCAATGGGGAGTTGAGTAAAATAGTTTGTTAGTAAACTTTGTTAACAATCAGGAATGTTTAGATTTTAGAACACACTTTTGGATTGGTTACTGAGTAACAAGTCATAACAATATCTACAATACGAGGGATGCATTATGCTTAAAGGTAATATAATATAATTACAGTATTGAGTACAGTTAGTAATTTTCAAATCAGGAATTTGAAACTCTTTATAATTAATGTGGTGTTATCTAAAAACTAGTGACGGTTTTGAAATCGAACTAAGGATGACCATGATTTTGAATCTTAGTTATTTTAACCGAAGTTATCTGCATTAACTCAATTTTTCAAGTGTTTGTTTTGTTATGGAAAGATTCAAAGACTTTCATATTTATCTAGTCAGTTCCTGATGAAGAATAATACTCGACCAAACATGATTGCAAGTTCGACTTGACTAAAAATACAGTGCTTGCAAGTAATGCATTGTGAAACACAATTACAGAGTTTAATTAATCATTTCGAATGGTGATATACAGCACTCCATAAAATGAAGTTCGATATCTTTAGAATGTAAGTTCATCTAAATATTAACTAAGAGATGATATAGTTTGAGGTTTGAAGCCATTTTAAAATTGAATGCAGTTGACAAAGATAACCTTTGAATACTTTCGTATAATGCGTGCTTTGTAAGATAAGAGATGATTTTAGACTAATTCATTGACTGAAAACACTAGTCCGAAAGTATGTTATTTTACTTAATTATTTATATGTCAGCAAGCAAAACAGGAAAAGAAACAAAGCTTCTCTTAACGAAGCCTTTAAACCTAAAAAATAGAAATACTTAATGAAATGATAAATACAGTGGTCAGAACATAAAACATCTAAAACCCAGTAAATATAATAGTATAACATAAAAACGATAAAACCACAAATTGTCCTGAAGTGATCCCACGACTAATAATTATTTTCAACCAAAGAATAAATTTACCATAATCCCACCTCATAATAATGAGTAATGGCTCTAAACCCTGAAATACAATTTCTAGTGCTTAACACTACACTCAAAGTGATCATTTGACTAAGAAAAAAGCATATGCTTGATAAATGTCGCAGATCTTAGAGGAGAATCCAAAGGTAAAACAGTATCTGCTTGCTGTTTCTGTTTCCACCTATTTTTACTATCCACAATTTCTTTACTAATTAGGGTGTCATCATTCTTCATCCAGGACATTATTTACCTTCTTACATTCATCTATCTCACTGAAAAATCACATGAACTCTGAAATTTTCATAAGTTTACCTACAGAGTGACTGCTGATTAAATAGTTCCCAGTGTAAGAGAATTAATTACACATCAAGGTTACACCAAAACCAATTATATATTTGAAGTTGTTTAACATGGGATTCTATACATGCAGACGTGCCCAATTTGGGGGTCCACTGTAATTATCCGGCCTTTCCGTGCTCATAAAATATTTTAGTTGAACAGAAAAACATCATCTTACAGTCAAATTTATCCAAAACGTCTATTGAGAATGATTTAATACACATATGAATATTGTGTTTACTGTTTTTTTTTCAAAAATCCCAGAAAATGTATTGATGTTTTCCTACAGTATGCTCACCGATTTATGGAACTGAGATATCATTTATAAACGCTAAATGCTTCATAAACTTTGAGATCATTCGCAGACACCCTGAAGGGTTGTGAAAACAATCAGGAATATTACCAAGATTTCCTGTATCAAACATTAAGTATAATTCATTTGTATTGGTTGTTTGAATCTTACATTAATGTTTAAGACTGTTATTAATCAACCTCTATATGGCATGTCTTGTTTGCACACGTCAGTAGCTATATAAACTCAGTAGTTAGGTAGATGACACGATGGCATTTGAAACAAACGGTACTGGATCCAAGTCCTGGAGTGAACATCAACTCTGGGAGGCAGGTACATACAGCTGACGAGTTCCAATTAGGACAGATTGCGCTTCCTGGATTCCACTACTGACCACCATCATTTTTTTCTTATAAATGTTAAATATTTTTGATAGGGAAATATTGATTGTACTAACTGTTTATTGAAAATACAAAGAATACTCAACATATAAAAGGAATCCAAGAAGACAACTTTCGAATGGCCCTTTCATTTATTGGTTGATTATGAGCTGAGGCCCAAAAGGGCAGAAATATCAAAATATTTAAATCTGGTTAAAGAAGCTGACAACAGGTTATGCTAAATACAATCAGTAATATGCGGATCTATTTTCTTGAAAGAAAATCGAGATACAGCTTTATGGACTTGTGGTAACGCGAATTATGTATAATTATGACAACTCATATAAGTTTGAACGAATAGTTTCACAGTATTTGGGCACCTATTTAATGCAAGACATTAGGGAAGAAGAATATATTTGTAAGATCTCAGTCATTGAACTCTTAGTAAATCCAACGTTTCTCTTGGCAATCTGATCCAAGCTTTTTCCTTGAAAAATTCAATCGCTGAGATTTTACAAATATATTATTCCTCCTTTATGACAATCCTGCTCTTATTCAGAAAAGTTAGGAATCCGTCGTAGATATTTTTGGAATAATTTATACTCAACGCTGAATGATTGTACAATTTCCACGTGTTATTTTGCTGAAAAAATTTCTACTATAAAATTTCATTGGTTGATTTGTGCTTATTGTGTAGTCATCAAATATTGAAGTGACCCTAAATCGTAGTAGGATAAACAGATTCGGATGAACTGCCTTTGTGTTTGTACGCTTGCTAAAATGTGAACATATTACTAAGCTCCTTGATCACGTGAATACTTTTCATGCATATGTATATATATATATATATATATATATATATATTCATTTATAATTCGACCGTCTGTTTTTCAGAGTAAAACATCACGTAAAACTACTTATCGAGGCAACATTTTCAACAATAAGTGATACTTCACAAGAAGGAAAATCAAAATTTTAATCGTTTGAACGAATAATAAATACCAGAATAATAAAATATCAGTAATACGTGATTATTACTCTGTAAATAATTATGGGTAAAATTCATTTTAATACGTCTGTACCTGATTCGGATCAAATAACAAAAAATAAAAATGCAGAAGGTGATGGGGGACCATTAAAAGTGTCCGCGAATTCAGCAAGGAAAGCAAAGTAAGTCATAAAAACTTATTTCATTGTTTAATACAGTAGAAAGGTATAAAATACTAAACAGTATGCACGCAGTTTAGTCTTACTGATGTTTATTAGTGAGTGGTGAATGGTTCAGAGATTCATTCATCATGGAAAGATGTGAAAAATTAAAAATAAAATTTATTATATCACTAAACTTTGGAAACAAGGTGTAAGGACATTATTATTTTTACATAGTAAATGTTATGATCTACCATTGAACCTTAAAAAGAATGACCGTCATACTGTAAAGCGAATCTATGTTTCAAAATAGAAATTCTGTTAGATTACGTTTTCACTCATTGTGTATTTATGAAAATTTATTCCACCTTGTCAAATTGTTTAATATCCGTCATACGAAGAAATTGTTTTGTCAGTAATGATTATTTGATTGAATAAACGTCTATATAAATTGAAGTGTTGTTTTAAAAGTATAAACATGTGTAAATCCATAGGAGCGATCATAAGAAACACAATGGTGAAGAAATTACGTTCATAAATTATCGATTTCCCACTAATTAACATTCTATTTGACGGAGATAACTCGTCATAATTTTAGATTCGATGTTTAAGACGATCTTATTGAAATATAACGTGTATGTTACCAAAAATTACTTATTTCTCATAAAGTCGTGTGACTGCGAATGTCTGCAGAGCAAGTTGTGAATGCTTTTGAAGTCTGATTGGCTTTTGAGTTTGGTGTTTTACTGAGAAAGCTTCACAAGTCACTCTGTAAATAGGATTTTTGTCAACTTAATGTAGTATTATTATAAGTCACTTTGAGTATGTTTAAAACTAAAATCAAAAACTAGCTTTGCCTGTAAAAATGAAGACAATATCTAACCTTAATCATAATTGTATGTGAAACTGGTTTGACGATTATTGATTAATTCGCGAAAATGGTGACGACTTATTCATTCTCTTGAAAACGATTTAATCAAGATTTTTTTAAAAATCGTTTTCTGGTTTGTGTTTGCTTAATAAATAGACGTCATAGCAAGTTTTATTTGTCATAAATTGTGAGAGTTTTGTTTATGGCATTAGTTTATTATTGTTGCAACCAAAAGGAGGAAGAATTTCTAAACTAAGCGTTAATCGTTTTAGAAAAATAATGTCGATATAGCCATATTGGGCTTTCTTAATAAAGGATAATCAGAGCAAGAATTAAAAAAGCATTGCTTATTTACCCTGCTTTTCTCAATATATAAATATCAAGCGAGTATATTGAATTGTATCAATAAGCCTTATTTATCATGTCGGGTGATTGTTTCAACTGATTTCAAATTATGTATGAATAAATAATCAGTTAATAAATGTAACTGTCATTTGTTAAATCAGTGTCAAATAAATGAAAATCAAAGGTGTCCAAAAATCGGAATAAGAATATTATAGCTAATTAACTTAGCATCCTAAACAAAAGGATGAAGTGAAATTTGTGATTTGGACAGTGTTATTCAACTAAATAAGCCTAAATGAATTATTCATAACATGTGGACCCCAGATAAATCAATGAATAAGTGATTCTGATGAACGTTTATTCGCCTTAAGGTTCTCGTTTTACACTAACTATTTAACCGTAATATAATCATGTTAACAGCAGTTCCAGTTTTGTTTTACTATTCACACTGTAAAATAAATAACGTACTAGCTAGTTAGTGATAAACATCTTTTACTACCCCTTGTGGCTGAAATAACGTAGTAAAAACATCTGTATGAACATTAGAAACAGTAAATGCTTATTTCCTCTTCTGTTAAATATCCAAAAGTTCCGTGTAGGTACACAGATATTTATATTATCTACAGACTGGATATCTTCAAATATCTAACACAAAGCTTCATTCATTTAGATAAGAAATTAAATAGCTAATCATCTGCCTTCACTGTGTTTCTGTTTATCATAAGTTTTCGCAATGTGAGCACTATAGATCTTATGTCAGTCAGTAGGATTGATTCGCCAAAGGAATTCAAGTCGGGCTGGTTATTTGCGAAAATAGTAAGAAACAAATCTGAGTAAAACATTCACTTAACTAAGTCTTTTATCAAAATTATCTTACTTCACCTCAGAGCATAATACTGAACCCACAATGTGCAAACAAATGAACTACCTCATAATAGACTACATTAATTTTGATTTTTGAGCATAATATTCTCCTTGTAGTCGGGTCTTTAATAAAACTTTAATAGTAAATTTCGTTGATAAATTAAGTGGGGTGTAAAGATGAAAATCTTCGACTTCTAAACAGTTTTCATCGGTCACTTATTTTACTGTGAAATCAGCTTTACCCAAAATGCATTATCTGAAAAATGATCCTTTGAGGAACAATGCAAAAATAAATTAAGAAGATGTAAGATTATAAAATGAAGTGTATACACATATTCCATTTTTGTGTGTAAAAAATGGTGAAATAAAAATTCCTATTTTAATATTTAGAAAGAGAGAAGTGGAAATTCTTTTTTAACTAGCTTTTATTGTGGCTCTGCATTTATAATAAATGGGTTGCAACAAAAACAGCAAAATCTATTATATCAATCAAAAGGGCCTTACATATGAACACAAATCCATACGTTTTTAAGTTTAGCGAAAAAATTACAAGATAAAGGTGGATGGGATCACTATAATATTTAAATATAATCATTATTACATAAATCGAATGACGCCATTTTTGGAGACTAGATATTATGTATTATGAGAGTTCCCAAAAGTTCCTGTTAAGAAGCTGAATATTGACGATATTTACGTGAGAATTAAAAGATGGGTATTAAATAAAATTCCGAGAAAAAAGATAAGTGAATTTTGGACAAAGTCAAATAGGAAGGATCATCAGACCAAATATAATTTACTATAGAATAGGTAATAATAATGTCCATGATAGATGAAGCGTCTGTAAAAAATTCTCGTGAAAATAGAGGTCCTGGCTTTTGCAGTGAATTAAGACAGTTTCATACTTTTGTGGCATGTATATGTAAACCATGCTGTAAACTAGGCGGAACACAGTATCTGAATCGTTCTTCTTAGTATAAGCTTTTCTTATTTTCTATTTAAAGAAAGTGAGTATCCTTAGAGCTCTTCTTTACATTTGATAGTCCACTATAAATTGTTAAAAAACATAAACTTCCGTTTATAGATGTAATTTCACCATAAAATTTAAAAGCATTTGTGTAAAACTAACTACATTAAATTTTTGATGACCACATACGTAAAATTACCTTAGGACTCTAATAAACATAAACTCATAAGGGCAATTCGATAAATTTTCCAAAACTGTAAATGAAATTTACAAAACCAGATGATCAGCTGAAAAACATTTTGCCGAAATATTTTATGCAAATGTTGTAGAGTCCATGATTCTCAGTTATATGAAGGGACAATATGTTAATACTGTTCAATGAATTTTTATACAGAAAAAGTAATTTTCCTCAATGATTTTTGCACCTTATTCTACATAATTCTTGTCTCCTCATTGTTTGCAACAAAGCATTATCATTAGAATCCTATTGATATTGAATTATTTTGAGTCCTTCGTTAAACAACAACTTATTTAGTTTAGAAAAAACCTAAATAAATCAAACGATATAACACTTGGAGTTGAATTTCCATTTAATCTACCTTCAATTATTTTGTGTTAATAAGTGAATGGTTTAGATTGGCAGTGAGTAGTGACTAGAATAGCTCGATGCGTTACATCGGACCACTGACCGAGTTTAAACTAGTTTCTAACAGAATACCAGTAAGTCTTAACGTACCAGGACTCAGTCAATCTCCATCTAACAAAGGTTTTGATTGGACAATTATTTTTCATCCTCTGACTGGCGTATTGAGTATTGATAAACTTCTCGTTCTATATTTAGGCCTACTTAGGGTTAAACAGTCCCTTCCATACGGCATATCGAATGCAGGTTCCTCTTACCCTTAGACCATAAAGTTGATATCTATTGACCCATATACCTAGTTTCATTCTATTGGAAAGATATTGCCACCACCATTCAAGAACGGGTTAAACTGTTAACAAAGAAGATGGTCAAATTTCTAAATAAACGTTTTCGTGTCTGCTATTCGCTCTACTCCTGTCCCACTTAACATATATTATTATAAATTTATAGACGGGTTTTAAGTCATAGATTGTGATCCAAAGATGTCAGAAACAACTTGTTAATTGTAAGCAAAGATGGTGGCTAGCAGTGGAACCCAGGACGCGCGTTTCGTTCTATTTGGGACTCGTGGTAATACGCACAGTATGCACATATGCCAACTAGAGACTGACCAGTTGCAGTCCTAAACGTCTATGGGAAGATTCAAACAAACAATACTAAATGAATTTAAACTTGTTAATTGTTTGACTAAACATGCATGTATATACGTGAAATCACTAAATTTATACCTACCATTGATAATATTTTTTTCAGTCAGAAATTTCAGATTTTTATGAGTTATTGATTTTGTCACTCAGGAAAATTAAGTACACTGAAACTATAAAACTAATTCTTTATTTTTACTTGATGTACCTACCGTTTATGCTGTGAAAAAAATACAGAGTCAATGAACTACTTCTGTGACGGGATAAAATCGAATCAACTGGTGAGATCGTTCCCAATACTATTTCACTTAAGATTATGAGAGTGAGATAATGCAGAGGACGTTTTTAATTGCTCAATTAATCAAACTGTTTATTTAGGTAGTGTTGAAAAACATTTAGATTCTATGGTCTAACCAAGTTCATGTTTAAATTTTACAGTAGGCCGGTAAAGACTGTAAATATCCGAATAAATGAACATTAAATAATCAAGGCCTTATTTAAAACTGTCCGTCTGAATCCCCAAAATCTTTAGAATAACGAAAACTCCATTTAGAACATTTCTTGTATTATCACAAAAATGGCTAAGGATTAAAACTATGCCGGACGAATGACGATCGCTGAAGATAAGCACAACCTCACTAATATCTTTTTATACAATAATTAGACTAGCAAGTAAAAATCATATCC